GCTGTCCCAGGGAGTACCTTACATTTTTACTTCCAGAAACTTTTTCAACAGCAATGTCGTTTAGAGCAACAGCGCTGTCCAATTTTACAAATTTTTTTTCGTAAAACAGCGATGTAGAGAAACCCAACAGCGCTGTTCAAATGGGTTCAAACCCTTTCACCATTCTAGAAACTTTTGAAACATCGCTGTAGGGCACTCAACATCGCTGTCTGTTTTACTCTTGCTTTTTTTAAAACTTGACGCAGAACACCGCTGTACAAGGAACAACAGCGCTGTCCCAACAGTGATGTCGCCTCTAGAACATCGCTGTTCTGGTCAAATTTTTCAAAAAAAAATATCCGTTGCACCTGCTTTAATTGCTCCAACAGCTCTTTTTTCAAATTTTTGAACGTTGGCCACCCTCTCTCCTATATATTTGGACCCCCTCTTCTCTTTTTTACACACACAAACACAAACTTCTTCAATCTCCTTGCATATTTTATCCTCTCTAACATTCTTTTTGAGATTTCTTCATCACCATGGCCAAAGATAAGAACAGGTCAGGAGCTTCCGGAAAATCCAAGGCCAAATCCCGGGCACCGGTAACCAATCCCGAGGATCGCATTGACTACGGCGACGGGACGTATCTCTGGTTCGATTCCGAGGAGGAGCACACCCGTTTTCTCACCTTCTTCTCTAAACGGGTTGTGGCTCCCTCACGAATCATCCCGGAGCGTTACCCTGAGTTGCAGGGCTACGACGATCTCGACGCGCAGCTTCATCAATCCGGCCTTTGGCCGTTTGTCTCCCGGGCACGCAAGGAGATCAACCCGGCGCTGATTCGGGCCTTCTACTCCAACCTCCGCCGTGAGGACGACGTGCTCTGCTCGCTCGTCAAGAGCACGCCGATCGAGCTCACCGTGGAGCGGCTTGGACGCATCGCCGGCCTCCCCTTCCAAGGCGACGATGTGTCACACTATGGTGGAGAGGATTGGGTGCTCAACAACGAGGGCCTTATTCTCAACGAGCTTGGCATCACCGAGCTCAAACGCCATGCCTCAGGCCGCCCAACCATCCACTCCGCCAGACCCGAAGGCCGCCTGGTCCTCTACATCGTCACCCGAATCATCAAACCGAGGAAGCACGGCCACACCATCATGCACAGTGAAGACCTCAAGCTTATCCATGCGATCATGCATTCGGCCCCAATCAATTGGGCAAAGTTTGTCATGATCAACATGACGATTGCCGCGTCCACCGAGCACGACCACCTCCTCCCGTACCCGTTTTTGGTGATGGACATCCTTGAACGGTTCAAGGTAACCACCACCGTTGGTCCACTCACGAAGGCCACGAAGATTTGGACAATCACCAAACCAAACCTTCCTCAAGCGGTTGGACAACGCCGCGGCTGCCACGCCGCACTGCCACTGCCGCTGGCCAAGCCGAACCCCAGGCCCGGGCCAACCTCACCTCCATCGCCGACTCACTCAACCAGCTCCACCTCAAGGTTGACGGGATGGGGAGCTACCTTGAACGGCTCGACGTGGCTGTTCAACGCCAAGGATACGCGATGAACTCGTACTTCCAAGGCATCAACTACGTCCCCCACCGTACCACGACACGTTCTTTGGGCAAGTGTACGGTGACGAAGACGAAGCCGATGACTCCTACGCCCCGTCAAGCTCCCCGGATGAAGACGAGTTCGACGATGCCATCGATGGGGATGAGATGGACGTCGACAACGACGAGGAGGAAACCGAAGACGAAGACTAGGACTCCCCTAGAATTTCTATCTCTTTTACTTTAATTATCCTGTTCTTTGTTAATGCTTCCGTTGTAATCCGCTATTTCCCTTTATTAAATAAAATCATTTCGTTTATCTTTTTGTTAATGTCAAAAGAGGGAAGAAAAGGGCTATGCATATACTGAGGGGGAACGTCTCTATAAACGAGACCGTTTGATTTTAATCCAACCAATTTTTTTTAGCACAAATTAAGGGGGAACTTTTTTTCACAAAATTTGAAAAACAAATATTCCTTAGTATGCATATCCCCGTCTTGTTTGCCATTATCAAAAAGGGGGAAATTGTTGGAACACGGGTTTACGCCTCCGTCGTACTAAACTGTGTTCGTCTTTATGACAGGTTTTGATAATGCCAAACCGCCGCGACATATCGAAGCTAAAGTGAGCAAAACTAAGGCGAAGGAACATGGCATGATGACTTGAGAACCAAG